TGTGTTACAATACAAGTCATCCCATCAAAGTGCTATTAATATATATTTTGCATACCAAAGAATCACAGTACTTTCTTTTCTTGACCCTGTTCATCAACAGAGGGTGAAAGTGCTGAAGATGAAGAAATACTTTGCAACAAATAGAATACCTGCTGTGATGCTCTAAATAGAAAACCAGGAACACAGAATTAAAAGTTTACAGATGACTATAGAAAGATGTTACCTTGAGTTAATTTAAAGACAAAATAGGAAATACGGAATAATGGTATGGGAGGCTTGAAGCTATGAACAATTGTTAAAAAGCTAAGTCCAGCGTAAGTAACTACTGAAAATGTTTACAACTCTGGGGCTCTATGCAATTATAACATCTTCCAAATAAAAGACACTAACAATGTGAATGTAGTATTGTGGTTTCTGCAACTGGTAAACGTGTCTTTCAAGAGATTACCTTAGGTAGCAGGCTAGATAAAAAGTTAACAGCTGTGTTCAATAGTAACCTGTGATTCTGGATTCTTGGGGTTCTAAACCAGAAATACCTAACCAAGGTCTGATGTTCAGAAAGCATTGAATATCCACACTATGGAAACCAGGCAGCTTTAATAATAGTGCTGAGTCTCAAAATTTATGCAAAAAATACTAGACAAGAATTAAAATCACAAACACTACTTCGGTGTTTAAGTAGGCAAAACCAAAAATGGCAGCAGTAGCCTAAATTTCATTTACAGCAGCTACTCAAACAGAAGGCAGAAATAAGCATTATACAAAGAAAACATTTAATCAGTTCAATCATGCTTCACAATCTTTAAAATACATATTTCAACTAGAAACATAAGCCACTGACAATACAGTTAGAATGTGAGAGTGAGGAAGAGCACTGCCACAGTAAGGGCTCCCAACAGTACTTTCCCTAACATGAATTAGGTTTCCTGCTCCCTTCTCCAGCTACCTACGCTGGAAGTACTGTCAGCTTCTCCTTCCAAAGAGGAAGCTCAAAATCCCAAGAAAATAGAGGGCAAAAGACTTGCCAAAGCCCAAATCTAAGTTCGGTGGGTTTTTTTTTCATTCCTTAAAAATTTTAAATTTAGCATGAAACATTCTTCTATTAATGCTCCTGATTTGAAGAACTGTGGGTAATTAATCTCCAACGGGTATTACTTCCCATATGAGGTTCCATCTTACTCTCACATCTCTATGGAGTTTTCTTATATGCTTTGCAACACATGCATAAACTTTTAATTGTAGTCCTTCAACAGACAACATGGAAGAAAACATTAAAATATTCCAGTCTTTAAAGAAACAGCTTAGTTCCCATCCCTTTCTCAGATGCTGAGGAGCCCATCTACTGGTAGAAGTGTTAGTCTAGAAAAAATACACCCCTGAGCTGCTAACTGATTTTTTTTTTTTTTCAACTGTACCATTTGGTAACTGCTTGGACTTTTTTAAGTGAAGTCATACACAAAAAATTAAGACCAAATACTTTTAATGAAAAATACAAAATCCTCAGGAGCAGTGCATTCCTTCCTCAATATGCAAGATATTTATACAAACCGCTTCAGATGATCTTTCCTGACATTAGGCTATTCTTCAGTCAACACAAACTGAAAACATCAACTCATCTTTTGCAAACATTTTAATATGACTTACACAGATTCATAAAGAGGATGTTAAAGTGCACGTTGGTTAATCTGGGAGAACACAAATGGAAAGCTGTTTCTTTCCCCTGTTTCAAACAGGATACATAAACACACTTAAAAAGTATGAAACCACACGATCAGTTCTATATATACATTTTAGATATATCCCTGTGTGATATGGACTATTTAGTCACAGTAATTTAGATGGGAACAAAGAAATTAATTTAACTTAAGATCGCTAAATTAAGATAACTAAGCCAAGTATTTCTTCCTTCTCCGTGCCGAAAAAAAATGGAAATCCTTTCCCAGAAAGGGAAATTCTTAGTTTGTTATTTTTAATAAAAATTTCAGAAGAAAATATTTAAGCACATAAGAACAAATAAAAGATGCAAAACTATTTGGCTAAATACTACAAAAATTACATACAACTATAGATCTTTTGATTTAAGCACAATTTAAACTACCACAGTCAGTCAGAACTGCTTAGCCAGAAATCTCCACTTATATTGGACTCTTCAAAAGATAAACGTCTTAATGGAGAGGCTGAATATAAGGACTGAATCCAAGATATTTGCACCTAAAAATATTCAGCGACAGTTATTGATGTGACTAACTGAAAGTACAGAGTTTTGAAGCTCTGGATTGCCTACTCTCTCTGATCACACAGGGATTTTAGGCTCCTAACTGTGCTTTGAGCTTTATCCAAATCAGATGTTCAAAGTAAATAGTGCAAACATCCTCAGTGTCTGCATATTCCCACTAAAGGGAAAAAGAACACACTTCCACTGCCTGGATTTCAACTAACAAATCCAAGCAGGTGTTTTGGGAAGAAAACAACAACAACAAAAAAAAAAGGTAAGCTGTGGGAATGTACAGGATCAGAAAAAAAATAGCATTTACATCTGCATTTTCAATCAGTTGTTTTATGCTTACATCAGAAAACAGAGAACTTCAGGCAATGCTAGACATCCAAAAAGTCCCCAGAAAATAAACTACTGCTGTTATAGTCATTAGAGATTTATGGGCTCCTGACCCTAGAAAGTTAGTGAAATCGGCTTTGTACCATCAAGTCAATAATTGATCTAACCGTGCCCTCTGCTGGCCTGCGAGGGACTTGTGTGAGGGTGCAGACTTCAGAGATGTTATCGCTTATATCGCTACAGGCTTCGATTTCACCATGTGAAACAACAGTAAGAAGCATTCATAGGTATTTCTCTACAGACTACCTGCCAAAATATGGAAGTGTGTTTTAATATACTTTGTAACAGTGACATTATTACTTTATTAGTGTTTTAGACTCCCATGCTCTGGAGTGTTGCCAACATTAACATACTCTATTTACATTGAATTTCTGTGGTTCGGGGCACCTAAAGCAATTCGATTTCTAAAAAAAAAAAAAAAAAGCTTTACTGTTAAAGACTGCTTATAATCAGAGATGGTAACACTGCTTTAGAAAAAAAAGTAATCTTTCTTTCTGCTTAGAAAACAAAACAGACGGGCTATTATTTCCATTTTTTAATAATTTTATATTGCAATAACAGCTTTGATTTCAGATTGTTTTACCAAATTTAACACATCCATAATTTCATTCATCAGTAAAATGAGGCTCTGAGATAGTAAACAAACATTAAGCATATGGTGTGACAGTTTAAGGGGAAAAGTCACATTCAGGCATATTGAAGTCAGAGGTGCATATAGTTTTGTACAACCCAAATTTAAATTGCTGCTTACCAAACCCATCCATCAGCACTTTTTGCATATCTTGGTCTTTTCCTTCTAAGTCTGTTCTTCAAGTAGCAGCCAAGATTTAACTTACTCAATATATTAAAGAACACTTGCAAATAAACACAAAGGTACTTTTATCCTCCATTTAATCTTTAAGACAAAGATGTAAAAAAAACTTTGGAAAGAAGATGTAGGAGGAATTACCCACAGTTCAAAGTATCCAGGCTTTGATGGTGTGATAGGTTATGCTGACTACAGAACCAGTGAAGTTGTTATAACTTGAGAATAAAAGATACGCAATTGATGCATGCTATAGATCTGGGGTTTTCTCTTCTGTAAGCACCAGTGCTTTAATAGAAATTAAGGGGGAAAAAAAAGCAAAAACTTTGTCCAAGATTCAAGAGCATCACTGCTTCAGAGATGCAAAGTCAGCACATATTTCACAGGGCCCCATGGCAAAACCAGGGAAATTTAGGAAAGAAAACAATAATGCTAAGAAAAATCCTACAAAAGCCAAACTAAAAGAAACTCATTTCTCCACTACAAATTAAACAGCAAAAGACTTAAAAATAAATGACTCAATCTCAATTTTAACATGATAATTTAAGAATTTCTTTCCTACATTAAATCAAAATTCAAATTCAGTTTTAAAGTTTCCTCCTCTCCTTTGGTTTTAGAAGTATGCCAACACAAAGGCTGTTCTTCTTGCCTCTTTACTTAGTAAGATTTACTTTAAGTCCTAAATTTTAGAATCAAGTTTTAAAATAATCATACCTACGATGCTAAATAAATGTTAGATACAATAAAGCATGCCTTCCCCCGGAAAGGACACTTTCTGTGTGCTCTGATCAAAACTCTGTTGCTGTGTAAACCCACTTTGGGAGATTATTATTTTAACCCAGAGGTGGCATTAGCCTTTTATCTGGAAAAGCATACACCTAAAATATCTTTATTACACATTATTAAAATAAAAGTAAGACTCATTGAACTGACTGAATTACCAAACAAAGAACTGAAGCCAAATTCAAGAAAGCTAGAAGGAAAACACACTTGAAGTATTGAAACAAAGTGGGAAGACTCCTTAGAACATGACAGGATAACTTTCTGGGATGCAGGACTGCCATACTAGTTCAGATGAAAAAAATCCATCTGACCTGAGATACCTCCTCCAGCAGTAGTCACATAGGCCTGTCAGAAAGGTAAAGTTCCTCAAAATACTATTCCAGTGCTGGCAGTCAGCTGTCTAATGATGTAAGGCACAATCTGTATCCAGACCATAGTGTTTATGGCCATTGTGACATTAAAAAGTAGGAAATAACAAAAACCTAACATTAATATAGATTGCAAGAAATGACCTGGTAGAAATTTAACTTCTTAAGATCTAAACACTGACATGTCTAATACAAAAAAAAAAAAAAAAAACAAACCACATTCCAAAATAATGGCACTGACTGTAGGTACAGTGAAGGATTAGTCTGCAAGTTCATAAAAGGGTCTTGTACTGCAAAGCATCTCCTTAAATTCTGAATATTTTGGAACTGTTTAAACACACAAGCAAGGATGTTATTCCCAGAAGATCATTATTCAATACAGTATTTTAAGATTGATGACTGGTCCACAAAGCATCTTGCTTTACATTACCTTGACTGTTTTATCCATAGAAGCCGAGAGAAGCATGTGACTTTGTTCTCGTACAGGACACCACTGGATTTCATTAACAGGACCGCTGTGTTTAGATATGTGAAATATTAAGCTTTTGGGGACTTCAGTTAATTTATATTTGGATCCCAAATATGGCTTAATTAATTCAGAGATCTTTCTCAAAGTCTGTTCTCCTGATATGCCTAGCTGAACATCACAATCTGAGCTATCTCTCTGATCAGATTCTTTCTTTTCAGGCATGCTGGAATTTTCTTGACGCAATCTTTTAGGGATATAGGGCCTAATTCCTTTTATGGTAGTGGTACTGTCTTTATGTATTCTCTTCTGGGAAATGCCATTTACAGAGTTTGTTGAAGAGCTCGCTGTCTGTTCATAGTTTTTGTAGGACAGAGATAATGCAGTATGGCCAGAGTATGCTCTCCTACAATACGGAGATGTCAAATCAGCACTATTACTCTGTGCATAATGCTCAGGGGGATCTTCACAAACAGTGCTTGTGCCAGAACTGCCAGTGATCTCAGTAGGCTGCATTTCATATGTAGATTTTGTACCCAAACTACCAGGTGCAAAGTACTGAACAGGAGTCACAGAAGAACTTGGAAGGCTTCTTTGTCTGTTAGAAGTATCGGGTACTTCAGTTTTTTCAGTTTCTGCCTCAGAGTCTGAGTCATCATAAGCAACCAGTGACAAACTCATTATGGCTGGACACCGCAGACTCCAAAAATCTCAGTGCTGGAATCCTCCGAAAAGATGATCTACAATAAAGAATTGATTATTCAGAGCACAATTTATTACAGTCTACAATTTGAGTAACTTCAGGATATATATATGCTTTTCTTAACAAGAAAACTCATAACTTTTATTCCTGCTTATTAGTGGAATTTATTCCTCTATTATAAAACATCTGCACATTCAATTATGCAACACCATTTGCCTCCAAGCACTTCGCATACATTTTTAATGCATTGCAGAGATGCATTTGCATACCACAAAACAATGAAAATGAGTATGAAAAGGAAAACAACCTTGAAACAGAGTACTGCAAATCACTTTAACCTTACTTGCAGTAGCACTTACACACAGGAGGGTAATTAATCATGCGATGTTTTGGTACGTACATCTATAATACAAATACTATAACTGTTTTGGAGTCAATCTAATAATACCTATTTCTTAATGGTACAGATGACTTGAAAGAAGTATGAAGCAGTTCAACTGGCAACTAAAAAAGTAAATACATTTTTGACTCATTCAGCAGCTTTGCAGTATGAGGAAATTTTCCAACGATATCCACAGAGCAAGTTCCACACAGCCCTTAGTATTACAGAACCAACTTACACTAGAAGCTACACTGAAGTCACTGTTTGCATTTACTTGCAGAAAAGTAAGAGCATAGATGCCTTGTTTACTGTGCAATAAACTTTTTCAAAGTGTCTGTAAGAAAGAAATCTTATGCTGAGACTGTGTATGCAACATGCTGAATAACACCACCACAACAATCCCACCCAGCTTCTTCCAAAAATTCAGACAGAGCATGTGGAGTATAGGGTTAACTGCATTAAAACAATTGACATGTCTGCAAAAATGATCTTTCAACCACTGCTGTTTACAGCCAAAAAGTACTGCTATCCGCTATCCTTCAATTGCTATGACTGATTAAATGGCACATTTTATTTCTGCTTTTTTTCCTTGCCCAGCTGTTAGCACTCATCATGCTGAAGTGATTTAACCCACACCACTTGCAGATCAGCTGCTGAAATTCTTGATTTAGGTCAGTGAAGAAGCTGTCCTCAAAAGCATCTTGATTAAATCAAGAATGCTGTATGAAGGTTAGTATCTACATAAGCATTTGCAGAATTAATACCACAAATGTAGGTCCTACAAATACTACTGCAGGAGTACTACACTGGAACTTGTAAAGATTACTCATTTAACTTCAGAATCACAACTATTTGAATTAAAACAAGCGCGTTTCATTTAACCTACATTACAAGGTATGGTCTGAATTCTGTAATGAAATTTCCAAGCACAGATCCAGAAGACGGGTTCCTATTAACACCTACACATTCATCATCACAGCTCCCTTCCAAGACAAGTGATTGAGACATTTAACTCGAACAAAGTGACTAACGTTTTAGCACATAAAAGCATCAAGATCTCCCTCTAGAGGACATTTTATCTTTATCTGAAGTTTATGACAGCTGTAAGGGACAGCAACGAAGTGCAATGACAAATTCTCTTTTTTAATAATACAGCTTCATTTATTAAAATAGCATTTCACTTAAGCAGTATCAATGAAAAAAAATAGGCAGTGTTTCAGGAAAACGTAACTAACAATTCAATTCAAAAAAAAGTAAGTTGAACTTTGTAGCATCAAAGTGAAACCTCTCACCAAATAAACAGTAACTTCAAAGGACTGCACTTCAATAATTGCAACAAGTGGTTATTATTTGTATTGCAGTGCTGAAAACAGGCCCCAGCCAAAACGCATTATGCTCAAAGAATAAATTAAGTTGACCTCTGGCTGAAAGCTATAAATGAAGATACACAAGCAGACAGGGTTAGGCTTTCAAAGTTACTTTACTTTCTTTTAACACAAACGAAAACAAAGCTGAGATTCAGGGGTAAGTGCAAGACAGTGCCTCGCACATGCCAGGTTAAAAATTTTCCTATGGGATACTGGAAAGAAACGTGGCCAGCATAAATCCATCCCATCACACACGGCCCATCAACCTTAGTATTTCTGTAAAAGCAAAGCATCTCTGTCATCTTAAGACTTCCCGTTCAACCCCTGTTTCAAAGAAACACCACCCCAAAGTTTCTAATGCTGCCCCAACTAAAGAAAAACGCAGGGGGAAACCCCCCACAGCGCACTTGATGGGACACATACTGTAACCAGACCGCGAACTTATTAACGGTGCGGCCCACAACGCACTAAGCTTACAGGGAAACTCACACAACTTCTGTTTTCCTTTCCTTTTCACACCGGGTGATTTATCCGCCCCCACTCAAGCGAAGAGCTTTACGTTCCACACGCAGACCACCACAGGCCCGCTAAGGGACCGTAGGTGCCCACGCCGGTACCACACGGGGGCCGGGAGCGCGGGGAGGAGGGGAGGAGGGGAGCCGGGCACCGAGGCCGTTTCCTCACTCCGGCATCACAGCCGTTGCCGCTCCCCACACCGGCACTCTGCCCCCACTCCCGGGCACCGAGGCCACTCCTGGGGCCACCACCGCCCTCACCGCTTTCCCACCCCAGCCCCAGCATCTCCCCGCCCTGCGCGTACCTGCTCCGCTCCACCGCGCCGGCGGTCCAAACCGGAAGTCACCAGCCGGCCCGCGGCGTTAAAAGAGCGCCGGGTGGAAACAAGGAGCACCGCTCAAACTGTTCCGTGTGTCACCACCTTCCCCAAGGGACCGCGTGTTGGGAAGGGTAGGGGGTCAGGCGGAGGCTGACTGGGCGCGCTGGAGCCCTTCTCCCACCGCTGCGGGCGGTGTGGAGGGCGCTTGGTTGGGCTGGTCGCTGTATGTGGAGGGAGGGCAGGGGGTAACAATGGTTCCGGAGGTGTGCGTTTCCTAGCCGGGAGGGGCGAGCGCCGTGCCGGTTAGGGGGGGTGATGCAATGGCAGGGGCAGGGGAGTGCTGAGGAGAGTTGAGGTGAGCCGGGTTGGGCAGGGCCACGGCGAGCTGGTGAGGGGCGGTCCGGGGATGGGACCTCGGTGGGAGACCTCGGTGGGCAGGAGAGGGGCTGGTCGGGCGGTTATTGCTGCCCCCGTGGCGCTTGTGGGGGGTCTTTGCGGGGCAGGTCCTCTCCCCCCCGCCTTCCCTTCTTCCCTCCTTTTGCAGAAGCTGATGCTCTTGAGGGATTTTTTTTCCTCCGCTGTATCGCCAACGCGTCGGGAAAGAAAGCTTTTTTCCCTGGGGAAGGGTGGAGGTGGCGGTGGGAGTCCTGGCCGCTGGGACAGGCGGCCCAGGCCGGGGAGAGCAGAGCTGGCGGGTAGCTTTGCCCGGGGCGGGCAGGCCGGTGGCCGGGAGCGTGGCAGGGCTCCGGCGTTGGAAACGTCACCTTGCTCGTTAGTTCTCCGCATAACCGTTCCTGCATGAGAGCTTCGGTCTTAACGGCTGTAGTGTAGTAAAGATTCATATTGGGCTTTCTTCAGGGGAGGGAGGTTGAGTGGCCATATTATCATCTCAGGGAATTGTCTTGCACGCTTTAATTGTATTTGCATACATAAATTGGTGATTACCATGACTGGGAAGGTAGGTCTACCATGAAATGCAGCCTGTGTTGGATTCCTTCTCAAGGCTTGTTTCACACAACATCTGTGTGCACACTATATCTGATTTAATTTCACTTTTCATTTTTGTTTTATTTCCAGGAGGCAAAACAGTTTTTAGGAGCATAAGTGCTGTCAGACTTAAAATAACATTCTTTCATTAGTTCATGAAAATTTTCTGGGAACTTCTGTATTACTGTTGTCTGTGGAAGTCATGATGTACCTTGGTGTAACATTTGTCGTAAAAGAGCTGTTTAACATCGTGTGACACCCTGTTCTTCGATTCTCAGGTCTCTAACTTACCAAATCAGATAGCAAACAGTGACAATGATCTTAGATCTGTGATTGTCATCCAACTGGAAAGAGGAGAATACAGTTGTTTCCTGATACCAATGCTAAGGATCACTTTTGAGCTTTGTCTCATGATGATTTAATATTCTGAAACAGTCACAAGAGCAGTACCTGTTTCAACTTACCATGCGTTGCATAGATAGAAAAGGCACACAATTCGTGGCTTTCAGTTTCACAGTGTGAACCTGAGACTTCTAAGTTCATCTTAGACTCTGGTCCTAAATGTCCTGGTAGTCTATTCTCAAGTTCCCATGTATCATTTTTTTCCTCCAAATCTGTTCACCTGTGGTATCTCATGTGTCTGAGACTGTTAGTTTTCATAATATCAATAAGAAAGCAAGAAAAAAATGTCCTGATGAAATGCAGGATATCCAGATGTTTCTTTTAAATGGTTCACAATTACATTTATGAATTTCAAAAAATGAAGACCTGTGTTCCATATTATTGAATTCCTGGCTTGAATTCTACCAGCAAATAAGGACAGTACTGAAATCTTTTGCATTCTATAATCGTCATATCCTCATCTCTTGTTGCAGTGACGAGATTATTTTTGCTACTTCATAATGAAAATACACCTTCATTTGAGATTCTTTGCTCAGCTTAAATCCATAATAGTCCAAACATTTTAAAGAAGCTTTCTGTTTTACAGCTCTCCAGTATGTATACTCAGTCTCAGCTGTGACATTTCAGCCTTTCTGAATTGAGGCAATCTATCAGGAAGAATGTATGTTCAGGAATTAAGTTAGAACACAAAGTCACAATTTGTTCTACACCAAAGAATAATTCTTGTTTACCTTTTTCTGTTTTGTAAAATTTGAAGCAAGTAAATATAACTGGCATATTCCTACAGAAAGAGGATGTGTTAGTATTCATAAACATTTTCTAATATGAATTTACCATATAGATTTTCTTTTCCAGTTAAATATCTTGTGTCCATGAAAAAGGCGGAAACACTAGTATCTAAATAAAAGGATGTAAGTAAATTGCAGGAATACATCAGAGAACTATATGATATACTTCAAATTGCCTCTTTAAAATAACACTGTCAAACTGCAAATAATCAAGCCT